GGGAGACCCCCACTCAACCCCGAGTCTGCCAACTCGAACATTACTATACGCCCTCCGCGACCCAAGAGGAGGAGAGCATCGAGACTACCGCCTTCCTCCTACGTTTTCTCGTCTCTCTGTCTCTCCTGTCTCGCCTTTTTACTCCACCTACCTCTTTCTCTCGCTCTCGCTCCATCTATCTATCTCGCATGCCCGCTCCTAAGCTCTCTTCCCTCCCTCCCNTTTAACGTCGGCTAACTCGGAGGCTCTCGCCGCGCAAACGCCGCCGACAAACGCGTTTTCGCTCCGCGCCGATGAAATGGCGGACGAGAGAGAGAGAGAGAGAGAGAGAGGAGCGTTCTCCACCCTCGAGAGGACCTCGCCGAGACGTCCCGGGCTCACACCGTGAACCGGTCGACTGCCTATGCGCTCGACAATGATCGATACGTTTCAGTTGTCGCGCAACAATTCGAGATGTTCTTCCAGATGCAACGTCGAGATGCCGTTATACGTTGCCCCCGAAGTGAATTCATTCGTCGCTCCGCGGGGTAGGTGCTTTCCTCGTCTCGCCCGGTTCGCAACGTTCAAGCGTTATTGCCGGTAGTTACGCGTCCCTCCGACTGCGAGTTTCAATTATTGGTGCAGCAATTGCGAATGATCGTAACGACTCTCGGTTCCGACGCCGGCTCTTTACCTCCCATCTCCCTCTTCTACCTCACCTGTTCTTCACTCACGGATTTAATCGCTTAATGATACCGGCCGGCTCTCCTTCTCCCTCTTGAATGCTTCGTGCTATTGCTCATGGATTCTTAACAAAGCTGGGGTGAAACGTTAAGCGTAATCTTATCGCAGCCGCGTTTATCTTAAAAAATTAAAAATTAACTCTTTCGAAAAAGGTAGAAAAACTTCTACGTCGCGCTTGAACTCGGCGTCGAAATACGATCGTGTCTCATTGCCGATCGGACAGATCTACCCTACTCTCGATGATCATTGATCGAGCGATCGAGTGAAACTTTTGATGATCCCGGAGAAAAATTTTATTCTTAGATACGTTACTGCGTAACTGTTAGTGACACGTATGATTTTTCAAGCCTAAAAGGTAAGGTGCAATTTATGCAGTTGGCAACCCGAGTCGAAATTTTAAATTCTACGTTAAGTCTTCAAGTGGAGAAAACGGAAATAAGTTCCCATTTGTAGCGTTAAAGGAGCACTTATCGTGCTCCTTTGACGCTACTAAGGAAACTTAGTCCTCCAGAGTCTACATTATCCACGATTTAGTTTTGCATTAAGTCTTTAATTAGAGAACACGGCAATAACTTTCCCATTTGTGGCACCAAAGAGGCACAATAGAGGACCTTTGAACACTTAACGTAGAACTAAATTAGACTCGAAGCAGGACCAAAATTTCGACTTGGGGAGACCTCTAGAGTCTAAATATTAGTTCTACATTGAGCCTTTTCAAGTGGAGAAAACGATAGTAATTTCTCATTTGTAGCGTCAAAGTAGTACAATAGAAGACCTTTGAGGACTTAATGCGGAACTGAACTAGACTCAAGGTAGGACTGAAACTTCGGGAATCTGTTGAAAGAGCGGAATATCTTGGGAATCAAAACGGGCAGCGGGACGTATCTAACAAGAGCAAAACATCCTATCACACTTCACGCGGCGTCTTCGCGTCTCCTTTACGCGCGTCGATACGATTGCGTACGTGCCGGCGTGTTCCTCCCCGTGTAGCGCCCGCGGGACCGTCAGGGTACATCTTCGGATCGTCGCTTGCGAACGCCACGAACGCGTTACCGCTCCCCGAATTTCGTATATTATTAATGTTCAAGTATGTGGGCCTTTCTCTCTCTCTCTCTCTCTCTACCTGCCGCGCGTACACGACGGGATATTTGCGCGAATGCATTCGTAGAATTTCGCCGGCGGGTGAATTTAGCGGGACATCGGAGGAGAAACATCGTTTCCACAGCACGTAAATGACTGGCATAATAACGGTAATACACGTCGGGCATTATCTGCACGCGCTCGCATTTTTGCGGGCAGACAGGTTCCTCCGGTCTCCCGCGATTCCTCCGAGCTACGGCGGTGGTGGCGGCGGCGTGGATACGGCGTTGCATTTCGCCGCAGCCACGCGATGACCCGCGCTTTTTGAGACCGGCCGAAGCATCGAGTCATCGCCGTGAGACGGAAGGCGATACTAATCTCGACGCGGTTATCAAACCGATACAAGCCGAAGTGATTTCAATAAGATCTCATTGTGCCCGACGTTCGCGCGCGCGCAGCCGATCGCGCGCGAATCGCGTTCTGGCGTGATGCAGGCGCATCAAAGGTGTACTGTTACTCGCCGAGGTGCAACGGACTCGCCGCTATTAGTACGGTAATATCGCGGAGAAAGAGAGACCGAGAGGGAGAGAGAGAGAGAGAGAGGTCTTGACATTATTGTCAGGATCATCGCGGGGATGCTTCTAAAGCGGAAGAATACATGGGGCTTCACATTCCGAACGCATGTCGGGAGGAACGCGCGTCGAATTTTTTCCCGAGTTGTTATTCGCGGCGGCGTGCGTAATCGCGAGCGTTATAAAATTATTATCGTCCGCGATCCTCACGCCGGTTGAAACGGTCGCGCATACTTCACGCTTCATCACGATGGCTTTGCTTATTTTTTCTTTTTTTATTGGAAACGCATCAAACTGGTCGCGTAACGGCATACCGGTCGTCGCGCCGAGGAACAACTTGCATTTCTCATTTTTCCCGTCTCGTCACCTGCGCGCATGATATTCGCACGGCCGCGATTTAATCGCGGCAATTATAATTCCATGATAATCGATGCACTTTCCCTCGTCAATCGACGACACACGCCAGTTAGCGATTTATATATTGAGACACCGCGGCTCGATCCGCCGTGCCCGATTTCGTCACTGGCACTCTCGCATTCTGTTTCTCTTATTAATCGTAAACGATATCCCGCGTGGTATGACATGATTGAACGAGTTGTGTTGATCATGCACCTGTCTGCAGAGCACGCTGGAGAGTTGTATCATTATCTACTATGATATACGTGGCAACAACGAGTTCTATCGCTCTCGAATCCCCCTGCTTCCATTCAACGCATTCTGCGAGTCGGTATACTCGGTGATACCGGGACTTTCCGCGGCTCCGTGTCATGCTCGCTTATTTTATTATTATCTCGCTTATATTTGCGCCCTCACGAAGCTCTCTCGTGACCATTCTCCCGCCCCCCTTGGACTTTTGCGACCGTGCGAATCTGTCCGGTTCTCCTTCATATTTTTATTCGAAGTAGAATCGATCGTCGCTTCGATCGAAGTAGTCGCACGCGGAAAGTAGTTCCGGGACACTCGGTATGCACATACGGTCCTATACTAATTTAATGCGAACATAATTCTATTACACGCCACCTGCGTATATGAGCGCAGGAGGATAACTCACCTTCGACTGGTCCTGCTGTTGCAGCAGTTGCTCCCTGATCAGCTGCAGTTGCAGGATCATCTCCGACAGTCGACGCTCCTTCTCGGCGAAGCTCTCGGCGCAGAGGACCCTGTGAAGGGCCGCCACGCCGTCCTGCTGTACCTGCGCCTCCGTGTTTGGTATCCTTCCGGCACCCGGGGGCGAAAGTGCCACGTTATTTGCCACGGTGGTCGTGCCTCCGCTGTAACACAGGCAATTAAATTACGGTCAATTTCGTCCGGTTAAACAAAGAGAGAGAAAGAGAGAGTGAGAGAGAGAGAGAGAGAGGACAGGAGGGATTTATTACGACTCGAGAGTGAATCTCTTCGACCATTCTCTTCGCAAGTATAAGTATAAAAAAAGAAAACCGCGCGCAACAAGATGTATAATTATTTTAACGATATAATAAATGATATATTAATGTGAAAATCCTCTCGAATTAACTGACAACGTTATCGACAATCAAGTGCGATTATCTTGTTCTCGATTATTCGATTAAACTTGTCCTCGATTAGAGGGAGAGAGAGAGAGAGAGAGAGAGAGAGAAGAGGAAGAATCTATCGCTAGGACGCAAGTAAGAAAGAAGGAGACGGCCTCCGGTGCGTTGGAACAGAACCGGATGGTAGTGGTCGCGTACGCGATGCTGGAAGCCAGGTGAATAATAGATGGGTCGCGACCGCGCAATCACGACGGAGCGAGTGTTTGCGTCCATGATGGGGTGCCCCGCGCTATCACCCCCCCCTCCCTCCGTGTCCCCAGCCGGATCCCGGCCCTCGAGCGGCAGCAGCACGGAACCAACCTCGAGCGCCTCGTGCGCCTTTATGTCGGAGAAAATGGACCGCGAATAAGTGATACAGGGCGCTATTGTGCTGCGCTTAGGAGGCCGCTTGGATCAAGTCTGTGCGAGAGCGAGGACGACGACGAGGCGACGACGACGAGATGCGAAAAATATAGGCCACCGCTTTGTCCAGCGGGCTCCGGTCATGGTTCCTCCTTTTCTTAGCGTTACGGGGTCGGCGATTAAAGTCACATTACGATGTACGCGCGAGCGACACGGGGCATTTAAATTGTAACAGTGGGATAATTGACTTTACCGAATCCCAAGCCGGGCGTTTTCAAATTTCCAACGAATGTCGGAACTGTGTATGTTCGAATAGCTAGGAATAGCGTTCTCATGTCAGTGATGTAATATTATATCGTCTCACGTGAATGTATAATCACGAACTTTTATAAGCTGCGTTCGTCGATGGGACGCTAATCTCGTCGTGGCGAAGAAATCGATACATCAGACCGAAGATGAAATACTTATTTGAATTTATTTGAGGAGCGCCTCACCTCGCTCGAACCAGACACGGGGTGTGATACTTAATATTAAATATTTCCCGAGCGGTTAAGTCTATCTAGTTCGGAGTCGACGGCCGACAGCGAACAGGCGCGCATCCGGCTCTTCGCGAAAGGATTTAATTGTACGCGCGATAATGACGGCCGCGACTCGGTGGATCCTCGTTCGTGCTTGCCGGCTTGAAAAGTAAGAGGAAGAACCTCCCTCCGTTATTATTATCGCGCGCTAAGACATTCGAAGGGCTTAATTTCATGCGCGAGCCAAGATAAATGGTCGCCCCCCTTCCTCTCTCTCTCTCTCTCTCGTCTCCTTTTGTGCCACTCTCTCCGCGCGCACAATCCTCGCGCACGGCACGCCGGGTTAACGGGTGCGAGAATGTATGATAAATTGACGGCACATGGATTGCAAATAAAGTCAGTAAGAATAAAGAGGCGTTTTCTCTCTCCTCGCGGACGGGACGCGTTCGATTTATAATAAAGCGCTTCGTTACGAGCGATATTATTAAGAATGATGCATAATTACCGTTATTCTAAATCTCGACTCTCGAAATATCGATTTGCACGACGATTGAAACTCTCAGGCTCTTTAACAGCGTCATATCGCCAGACGTCATGCCCGCCGGCGCAGATCTCGATCTCGTGATCGTTAATCTCCTCGTCAACATTGAAAACACGAGAAGCTCTTACATATCGGAGGTCTATAATGCGACGCTCTTGCTCCGCGGGTTTTTATCCAATACCGGCTATATTTAGCACAGCCGAAAGCTAATGTACATGCCCGATATTTTCGTCCACCCTATAACTCTAACATTCGCCGGTCACTCGTATCTCCAAACGCTCGTGCCCGCTCATAATACGATATTCGCGGTGTGTGATACGTCAGTAGTGCATATATGATACGCGGATTCGAGACGCTTTATATAACAATGTTGTCGCGGCCGTTTGCACGTCCTGTTGAACGTGCACGCGCAAATTTGTACAAGTGGCGTACGCGTCCGGAGTTGCGCCGGAGACTCCTAACCTTTGACCATTCTCGCGCGTTTTATCTTCGTGAGAATTCAACAGGAAGTTCAAATAAAATCGTTAATATAACCTATAATCCCCAGCTCGCCGACGAAAATAGAGAAGCCGAGGAATTATTCCGGAAACGCGCGTCGCCGAGACGTCTTCGAGCGTAATAATTATGTAGCGACAACAATACCGCGCGAAGAGGATCGGACGTGTATTTTTAAATCGAACGCGTTATTTCGATACACACACGAAGTCGCGAATTGAACGGGCTCCAAAAAGAGGGTGAACGTCAACGTAAGTGCAAGTTGTACTGTTGGCTGAATTTTTGAAGAATCTTGGCCCGACGTCCGCTCGGTGTGGGCAGCAAACTGGCACAGTTAGTTCTGCTACCGCTTCTGCACGCTGCCAAGTTCACTCGTTTGCTTTCAATGACTTCACTACAACGTGAGAGTCCGCGTTCCATATTATATCTAGGCTCGAGGGAAGACACTTTTTACGGAGACCCCTATTCCCATTGTCTCTCGTGGCACTACATTTTCCGACATAATCCTGCGTCGGATAACATTCTTATGTGACGGCGCGACGACACCGAGTGCGACCGCAGGGAAAAAAATGTATGTAAAAATAGGGAGTGGTATGAATACGATCGTCTCGCGAATGATTTGCGTAGAAACGTTCGATTAAATCAGTTGTTTTCCGCCTCGATCTCATTATATACCCACGATCAGAAACAATTGCGTCAAATGAAGTCCGTGGTAATATGATATGCAAGCGAGAGGTGTAATTTTATTATATCGGTGGTGTTATTATGCCATCGGTTTACGATATAAAGATCGCAATTAGCCACGCGCAAACAACTTATAGTTTGTATTCTCGGCTGTGTACGTAATACGAATGATTTACTCCGGAGAAGCTATGAAAAAAATTCCCACACGGTATCTCTCGATACAATGAATCAATTCATTGACGTTCCTGATTATTTAGAATAGGTATTATTACAAGATTTATGATATAATTAACGCGACGATAATAATCGTTCGCGAAGCAAAGTATGAACCTTCCTATGTGTGTGCGCGCGTGTATAGATTACACTTTTTCCTCCAAGCAATCCAGTTCGTGCAGTTTATGCAAATTTCACCGCATTTTAAAGTGCCAAATATATTTTCACATTTCCGCTCGATGATGATTGTTCAATGGTACTTGAGCGTAGGCGTTACACTACTTTTTGACCTTATACCATTGGTCATTGTCAACTGAATGTACGTCGATAGAGATTAGCTTCAAGAGACTAGGCTCCCCTCTCAACGGTCTTGAAACAATAGTCTCTTTTAGGCCCCGCCCGATCGTTAGTTATATGCTACCATACCCGAGATACCAGGCGCAGCCTTGAGAATGTTGAAGCAAAAACCACACAGTGGTCTTTTCTTTCAGAAAACAAAATTACAGTCGCCGCCTTAATATCCGGTGATAACGTCAGACGAGGAAAAACGTGAAATAATGCATCGTAAGTCGTATTCGATAAATATCGGTGGTTTCAGAGTCTAGAAGAGAAGAATTTTCACAAGAAATTTTCCGAGAAATTTGATGACCCGCCTGATGAGATTGTTACGGACAAATCATATGCTGTTATACTTCTTAACGGAAACAAAAATTTTTTTTACTTGAAAATGTATCGAGTGACTTACATTTAGCTACGATCCGAAATATTGCTGTTTAAATCATCGAGGGAAGAGCTGATATCTTGTGTGATAAATTTTATCGTTAAATTTTAACTACTGATCGCGACAAGTCCATTTGTCTAATCAACAAAGGTCGATTCGCGGCGGCGTTTGCATGAAACTCCTCGTTATAAAAGCGGGATAAAATTTAAATAAGTATGTATTTGCTGCGATTACGTAGTTACCAGCAATTAAATTGCGAGAGCAAAAATCACCGCGGCTTGGAACATACACAGCGGAACGTAAAGACACATCCGCCTCTGATTTGCCATTATAATATATTAATCAGTTATGTAAAGAGCGGGAGCGATGTGATAACCTCGGCGACACGGTGGCGCATTATGAGGCAGATATTGCAACAGTATAGTGCACTGTTACAATGTCCATCGGAAATTGTATCGAATAATTAACTTGGCATACATAAGTTGCATAAGAAACGCTTATCTTTGTACGTCGCGTTGATTAAACTAATTGTTATGGACGAGCTCGGACGGCCAACAAAATTGGAAGAAACTCCTCAAAGGCGCCCTGTTCTCATTTCCTATCGTTCAGCGGGTATCTCCCGACGTTAATAGCGACTAGATCGGTGGTTAAACGGCGGAAAGCTGCGAATCATAAAATGGCGATTGAACAACCTGACGCGATGCGGGCAAAGATCAAGTCGAAAACAATTCGCAAGTTCGAGGAAAAAAAGCGACTTTGGTAGCCATTGAAAGAGAAGGAAATAAAGCACAAAAATATCTCCACGAATATATATCGTATTGGGCGCGTATCGGAGGAGGAAAATAAAAATCGTGCCGCTTTCGTCGGGAAGTCAGTTGCCGGTTATCGGTTCCTGCCGAAATTCTGACTCGATATTTGATATCACCTGGACTAACCTATGCGCATTGTGGCCAGTCGGCGTGGAAGAGAGCGGCGGCGACGTCCGCTTGGTGTTGCTGGTGTCATCCTGAATGGACAGGGACTCGCTGTTCATCTTGCACGTTAACCTTTTAAGAACGTCGTCCATGGACCTCTTGCTACCGGCGGCGGCGGTGCCGCTGCCGTTATTGTTGTTGTTGTTCTGCGTGACGGTGTTGTTATTGTTGTGGTGGTGCGGGTGATGGGGGTAGTAGGGGTCGACGGAGAGGAGGGTAGGCGGCGAGCCGCACTCCGAGGAGCTCGCCGGTTCCAGTACGCCGCCCGACGACGAAGACGTGTTCGTGTGGTGATGGTGATGGTGGTGGTGGTGATGGTGGTGATGGGGATGGTGGTAAGGCGCGAGGGTCTCCTGGTTCGAGAGGAAGAGCAGCCTCTGCCGCTTGGCCGTCCGCAGGGAATTCAACGAGGGCGATGGCGAGTCACGCAGATCCGGCTCGCTGGTCGTCGCCGGTGACGAACAGCCGGACGACTCGCACTCGCCGCCTCCTCTCTGATGGGAGTAGCACTCCTCGATGTCGACCGGGGTGGCGGCACCCTCCTCACCCACGGTTGCCTCGCCACCGGAACCGGCTACCGGCGAGGTCGTATCCTCCTCCTCCTCGTTGGCGCCTGCCACTGTACCCGCACCGCCCCCGCCCTCCGATAGCTTCGTTGGTGGCGACTTCCTCTTTGAGGACATCCTCAGTCTGCAACACAAGCGTAACGAGAGACCGCTGAGTTTTTTGTCTTTCTTTCTCTTTTCTTTTTTGTTTTTGTTTGCGTCGCGCGTGTACAGCCTTTACTCGACGGGGGGTGTGGTGTATCGGGGGAGCAGGGGCCGAGGAGGATCGTCGATGTTCAGAGGAGACGTCGGTCTTCCGATAAATGTTTTCGGCGTTCGCTGATACAAAGAGCTGACACACACATACGCACAGTTCTTTAACCACGACAAGAATCTGTCTAGAACGTCGAGATTTCTTTGTAAAAGAATATCCTTCGTATCGCTTATGGAGTATATATGGTTTTAGTTCAGAAGTCAATTTCAGCATCCGCAGGTGGATGGAAGGCCGTGCGAGGTCATCGATAAAACGACGTTCGCTTCTTACGTCGCCCAGACGTTCCCGGCGGGCGCGGCGGCGTCTAAGCTATCTGCCATCTGGCACGGGGTTAATTTAGACACGGACTAGCCCAAGTTCGTCCGTCCATTTCCGTCTACAAATTACCAAATCTAAATCCAAATCCGACCATCGACCGGTCGTGTCGGCGGCGTCAACACCGGCGGCCCGGCTGAGAAACGAATATTACGTAACCGGGCGCGAGACGCAATAATGAGACGCAATTATCGAGCGGGGATTATTGTTGAGCTCGCGTGTCGCAACGTACTTTCCATTAATCGAGCGAGATTCCATTAATCGACTGACCGAGAACTCGCCGGGAGCGCGGTGGGCGAAGAGGGCGAGAGAAGGAGAGAGAGAGAGAGAGAGAGAATTACGTTAGCCGATTATCTTTCGCTGGCGAACGCGAGCGAGGTTGCGAGGTCAGGAACAAGAGCACGCGCGCGCGGCTCATGGTTTCTTTAACCGACATTGAATGAAAAGCGGCGGGCGACACGTGTTGATCCCCCGGCAGTGCGTCAGGGAAGTTTTTCCGTTTCCGTCGCGACGGTAATTCACTCGGCAACGAAAGAAAAATTAATAGCTACACCGCGGCGATCTGCGAAGCGCGGATTTCCCCCCCTCGAGTCCACTACCCGAGCGACTCTTTTCCGATATCGCTACTTTTTAATCGCACGAAGTAACGCGATCCATATTGGGCGAACGGAATCTGCGTTCATAGTTTCTTCTCTGTAGCACAAAGCCGTTCGTTTTAGCCGACAGCGCGTCGATGATTTCTCTCTTGTTAGCTCGCGCCGACCTACATTTTTGAGCTCTGATTGATGTGCAAAGGCGAAGTACATTGCGTATATACGTCAGCGGTAATGACTTTTAGACGTAAACGACTTCCCGACTCGGGGGGAGGGAGCGCTTTATATGTCGCTTTGCGACTCAAAATTGTCCTCCGTGATGCATATAATTACGGGAGGGGGGAGGGGGGAGATTTATTGCTGCGCGTTACGCGGACATTTGTTAGTCACATAATGGAGAGCGATTTACGATGCTGAGAATGGTACGTGCATCTTCTCGGGACACGAGGGCGATGTATCGTAGAGTTATGAAATATATAATGACATCGCGGTTGTCATCGGTCATCGCTTCGGAGTATATCACGAGGCTGAAGGTAATAATATTTACACAGCGTGTTGCGCAAAATCCTCTCGGAGATCTATTCTTCCACGCGATATAGAGCAGACCGATTGAGAGATCGATCGTGGCTCCTTTTTAGAAACGGACGTGATACAAGATGTATTCCCAACAATATCTGCGAGTCACATAGTACTTCAGTTGGCTAATTTTTTAAAAAGCTAAATTAACATCCCAAAGAAAAATATCAATATTTTTGTCCGGTAATATCAATGCACATCAGAGAGAAAAATATCAGTAGCTTCTGAATAAAATTTCGCCGCTCGACGAAGTGAAGACAAGCCGGCTTTCGTTTCCGTGAGTCAATTCGCGACAAAGATAATATTTGTGAAGATAAAGATAACATTTGTGTGAGAGATATGTTGCGTAAGAGTTGCGGAAGGTCTGCGCGATCTCCCGACATGATACAGATTGATCGATCGAGCGAATCTCCAGAGCGATCGGCTATGACATTCCGCATTAATATTCTCACGGCAAGATCAGCGTTTTATTCAACAATATGTGTTCTCTGCAATTATATTGGGATTTCTGTAAGCAGTGACGTCGTAATCCGTAGCCTTTGCACATCGCGAAGAGCGCGCCGTATCGAAGGAAGTCGGAATCATCACATCAATATTCGCGCTCGACGTATATTATTGCGAGTTTATCATGCGGATCGCATACTAGGAAAAAGATTTCGTCAAATTTAACAAATTCCATCACATCCCAACAAATTTTATCATTGGCATGCTCCAGAGAAACTAATGTTTCGATTAATAAGTACGATTGTTGAGACTTCTCAACAAATATGTATCTTTATCTTAGATAAGAAATTTACTCGAAATGGAAGGTAATTTTCTTATAAAGAAATTTTTTACTTCATTTTACATATATTTATTGTAACCAAATAATATTTTATCCGGTTAAAAGATATTATTTCAAATAATAGCGTTCTTTCTATCAAATAATCGAGTTTTCTCGCATGAGACAATAAAATTTCAACTTAAATAATATTTCGTACAAGTATATGTTGTTTCTACGAAACAGATTTTAGTCAAATAAATGGAAATGCCCAATCTAGAGAAGCCTTTTCCTCTGTGCACGAAAGCGCAAGACTGAGGGAGGAAGGGGAGGGAAAGCGATGCGGGAAGGCGGAATGCATATTACAAGGTGCGACACAATATTTTTCGGATAATTTGTCAGTGTGCGCGCGTCTAACGAACTTCTTCGTTCGCGATTCGCGTGCCTCTCCCGCGAGCCCCGAGAATCGCATCGGCGTACACTGGAGGGACCATGTGGGACGGCGATGAGAGCGGAGCGCGCGATGAACCGGAACGGCTTGACGCGCGAGTGAGGGATTTCGGCGGGCCGCTTAATCGGTAAGACTAGTCGTTTACGATTAGTCGACGGTCTATCGCTCCCCGTCGCGTGACCCCGCGCGGATGCGATAAAGCTGGAGGGACAGCCGAATTTCTTCTCGGCAGCGTGTCCGAGTAACCAGTGCCTGAACGCGTCGTTGTTCCCGGAGAAACGTAATTCTCGAATCGTCCTCGTTGCGTGTTAATGCGCTCGACGAAATAAACCGAGCTGAGAATTATACTTTTTGCATTGCCGCTTAATCGGAGACTCTCTCTCTCTCTCTCTCTCTCAATATCTTCGTGAGAAGAATCTTGCAATTATCTTTTATTTATAACATTTCGGAATATGTGAGTTCGCGAGGAAAAAAAAGGAGAGGGTGACTGAAGGGCTCGCAGTGTTAAAACTGATCAACTCCGCAGTTTGATTTTTCAAGTGGATTTAACCGTACCGACGTTTCCGCGCGTCGATCGGTACAAGAAACGGAATATTTCTAAAAACAGAACTGAAAAACAGAGGGATTTTCGCACGGCGCCCTTTCATTTTCAATTCCCGATCCCTCCCAACTCTGAAGCCGAATCTGGCTCGAATCTCGAAGCGAGCGACCCGCGAGGAATATTTAACGCGGAGACGTGTTTGCGCGCCACAATTGACGCGCGGCGGATAGCAATCTCATAAGTCACGATCGCCGGTCGCGATCGGTCAATGTGCGAGAAGCCTCCGGCGATCGGACAGCGGGGAAATTTCGCTGACAGAGTCCGTTGCTCCTGCCACCTCTGCTACACCTCTCACATGCCGAACCTTCACGTTATACCAGTCTATCGTGTCCCGCTCTTCTATTTCTATTGTCTACGTGTTGACATTGTACGCGCGCGTCTACGCATACACGTACGCGCGCATCGCACTCTCTCTCTCTCTCTCTCGTCACAGTTCCTCGTTGGTACGTACGCGCGTATGGACCGCTCGCTCGCTCCTCTCTCTCTCTCTCAGTACGGTGAAGTATTTCTGTCCCTAGACTTCCCGCCCGGCATAATTACTTCGCGAAGCGCACAGATTCGCGACTATAGGCCTCGCCTCGTCTCTGTCTCCGGAGGAGACCGAACAAAAAGCGCGCGCGCACGTCGACACGTCCGCGGAAGAAATATTTTTAACCGCCAGATGCCATCGTGTCCGGCCGACTGAAATCACAGACGAGGATAGCGAGCGAGAGCGAGAGAGAGAGAGAGAGATCATCAACGCCGCCACCGAGATACTATTAAAGACCAACGGCCTTACGAAAGTTCGCGTGACTGCCGTGATACGTGGACTAACCGATATCCGGCTAACCTGTAACGCGATATTAATTCTGCGGCTGATCGTTACCGTGAATTTTTTTATTTAACACGTAGCTCTGCCAATAATTCTTCTCATAAATTCTTATACGAATTGCCTACAACGGAGTAATGTTGCAATTTTTTCTTTACGAAACTGCATCTTTCTTTCTCTCGCTTCCTGTCTCTATCTTTCTTCCTTTTCCCCTCCACGGTTGTCATAAATCCGTGTGTATGTAGACGCGTATATATGCCAGTGAAATGCCGAACTAATAACGAGTCAGAATTAATAGAGCATTGCATGCCAATTGTCTGAATACTTGGTCGAAGCAGCGCTTTTTAATTTATCCTCGAATCCACTGGGCTCCTTTAACCTAACCTAATTTATTACTTAGTCGGTAAGAACGTCGGTTGAATCGCGGCGTTGAGCATTAGGCAAGTGGTACAACCTTACCGAAGCATGGAAGCACTCGTTGAGACGCCAAATCTCGAAGTATTCACTTCGCTTGATATAAGCGAGTGCATTTGCTTCGCTTTACTCGACCCGTTACTGACACGACGCGACGCGATGTGACGGGTATCGATTACAAGTATCGAAAGACATCGCGCTCGCACGAGCCCATCGGCATGCTAATACGTATACGGCCGTCACTTCGTTTCGATACTCTCAACACGCATTCACACGCGGGATTCGATCTCGACAGTGAAACATGTGAAGAGCGGTCCCAACGATCCGCGGCTCGGAACGTCACGATACAATCA